AAAAAAAAAAAAAAAAAAAAAAAGGTCCCTAGTAAAAATCATGTTCGTTGGGCCGGCAATCGTTCTATAAATAGCAAAGCAATTATATCATCTCCTCACCACACAAAAAAGGATAAACACCAAATTAACAAAATTCTCAAACACCTTATATGAAACTAATTAGTGCAACAATGAGCAAGGGGATTAATTACCTAAGTCTAGCTCATTTTGTTGCTTTCTTGATCCTTATTTCCATGGCTTGTAGTAACACATTAGTTGTTGAAGCTCAAAGGCACAGGGCGCCAGATGCAAAAGAAGGGAAATTTTCACTTGCAGTTTCTGGTCGTACAAAGGCTATTTTAACTATCAATGACTTTCGAAAAGGTGGTGAAGGAGGGGGTCCTTCAGAATGTAGTGGCAAATATTACGATAATTCTATTCCAATTGTGGCTTTATCAACTGGATGGTACAATAAAGGGAGACGATGTTTTGAAAAGATAACAATTTATGCAAATGGGAAGAGTACAAAAGCAATGGTTGTTGACGAATGTGACACAAGTAGAGGATGTAGAAATAATATTGTGGATGCTTCTGAAGCTGTGTGGAAAGCTTTGGGTGTTCCTAAAAAAGACTGGGGTTGGCTTGAAATCTTCTGGTCTGATTAATCAATTTAATCTTTTGTATGGTTATATTTGCAAAGATAATAAAGTCTTCCTCCTTAGCTTTCATTTCAATAATAAACTGTTTGCAAGGCTTACTTTGCCTTAATCTTGTTACGCTATCGCAATAAAAAGGATTTGGCTTATGTCCACTGCAGTGTAAAGAGTTTTTACATTATCAGTATGTCCAATAATAACACTTTTTTCTTGCTACTCTTATGGATGTGTATGAAGCTGTTTGAACTAAATTTAAACATTAGTAATTATCCATTTATACTTGGTTTCTTAATTTGAGCCCATATCCGATTTTTCTTTTTCATGATTTTCCAAATGTATAAATGCAAATTCGTCCCAGAATCGCTTCTATGACACAAACACTTATAGGAGCTCTTGTGTCAATCACTTTCATTTCTCTCGTTAGACCATCTGACCAGCAGATAAAAGTTGCAGTGTTTGTAAGAGAACAATAATAACTAGAGTAATTCATAAGGTTGACTGATGAAAACTCAATAATATTGGTCCGAGACAAACAAAAAAAAAGATACAATATCACTTGTTTCTATTCACTTGTACATGTTATTTTGACTTAGAAGACGCCTCTATGCTCTTACAGTCAACAACTCAACATAGTGGTTACCAATTACTTAAGTGGACTCCTTCAAATATCTGTTGACGCAATTTGTTTTGCAGTTTCTTTTAATTTCGTTGTTAATCTGACCCACCTTGCCGGTAATAATTGCAGGATCGAAGCTTTTAACTTTTTATATTTTATTTCTCACTCGATATCGATATTTGCCTCTGCCTGACTAATCCAGATTGACGCCGGAAAGTCACACCAGCCAAAATCTGTAGCTTTATTTTAGAAACTCAAATAAAAGTACAAATTTTTGGATTTAGAACACTTGTTCGAAAGAAGAAAAAAAGACGTGATTTGTGACACTATATGTCAGTTAGAAAGAGTTTTCAAAACAAAAAGTTTATTTGAATAAGCAGTGAATCGGTTAGAAGGAATCAAGTAAAAACTTATCTGCATCGAGTATTTATACCAAATAAATATTTGTATAGAATATATCAATAAATGCATGACATATGTTCGCACATACACTTAATCATGATAATAATTAAGTTAACAATGTAAACACCGTAAATTTTCTCTAAGTCAATTGCTAATGCATGCTGTTCAAATCTATATATTTTCTCATTTTCTGCAAACATATCGTTTATAAAATTCTATAATTTTCCAAAAAGGTACGTTTCCCTCTTGAAAAGGAGGATTGATTAACATATTTCGTTATTACCGGTGACCTGTGTTGCTGTCGATTCAGACGATATGATTTGTGTACAATTTTAGTGCACTCGCAACCTTTAATTCGTGGATTCATCACTTGTGTTGATCGTTTCTACATTGGAAAAATAATCGAATATTTAGTAATATAATCATGATTTGCTCTATAATTTGATTTGAGAATCGATCGGTTAATCAGGTAACCATTTAATTTTGCTCTTCAATAGACTGATACACATATCGACTGCTCTTACAAAAAAGTTGACTTTTATGTCTAAAATACTTCGGTGGTAACTTCAAATAATCCTTTCTTTTTAGACAAAGAGAACTTTAAGACAGCCTTGCATTTAGTGGCGTTCACAGAATTTTTGGTAAGCGATGTCAACATTTGAAAAATAAACAAGTGAATAAATCACTATAATAACAAGCGATATCATTTTTTTTTATATTTATACCTAATATTTTTTGTTTTGTATACTACATATACATATTCGACGAAAAGGTATCACATAACACCGCTTGCCGCAAAATGTAACTGTGGCTGCTCGCATGAGACATAAATAAAACATTAAACGTAATTAGCCATCAAAGATATAAGGGTAAAAATCGTACTTTCCTTTTTTTAGAGCAAAAAGAAATTACTACATGTAAAAATTAACCACCTAAAATTTCAAAGATGTCACATCTACAAAACAAACAGTACAGTCGCAACATATTTTATTTGTACCTATCAAGCCAAAATTTCATAGTCGCAGACATTGTTATTTTTCTTGTACCGTTACTTAGTATTTTTACCCCATTGTGTTCCACGGTTTGGATTTACATGACCACCACTATAATAAAAATCATGTTGTTGGGACTTGGGCCGGCAAATCGTTCTATAAATAGCAAAGCTATTATATCAGCTCTTCACCACAAAGAAAAAACACTAAGTTAAACAATATTTTCAAACATTTAGGATGAAACTAAGTGCAACAATGAACATGGGAACTTACTTTACCCTACTTCATTTTGTTGCTTTCTTGATCCTTATTGAAGTTTTCTGGTCTGATTAATGAATTTGATATCAATGGTTTTCTTGGTATGGCTTTTATTTTAATAAGTATCTGAAATACTCTGATAGCAAGGCTCATATAGTTGCCTTAATCTGCTATCACAATAATAAGGACGGTTAACCCGTCGTTATCTTTTATGTGACTTAATATGTAAATGTTCTTTTACACTGCCGTAAAGAAGTTAAACTCGAATAATAGTACTTGTTCCTATTGTTGCTTCTCTGTCAAAAGAACATGGATTTGTATGCAGCTGTTTGAACTAAATTTTACATTAGTAACTATCTGTTTTTACTGGTTTCTTTGATCTAATATAATACCGAGGCCAAATATTCTTACTTCTTCTCAACATTAGATAAAGGCTAAATTTGGAATGTCTATAGTAAAGACATATAATACTTGTCACTGGAAATGTATTGAATATTGAAATTGTACAAGCAGCTGACCAAAGTAGTGGCAAAACAGGAAGCAAATTACATCAACATACAACTTATTCACTATAGTAGTCTGTCATTATTTCTAGTAGAGGAATGCAGATGCAGACAAATCCAGAGCTTAAGCAACCCCCAAAAGTTTCTTGATATCCTTCTACAAAAACAAAGGCAGAAAACTTCATCAGCTACACTCTTAACAAGGAAAGATAACTATAGGAGAGGAGGCTGGTGGATACTTACCTCCATGCTAGCTGGAGTAGTGGTTGGAGAGTAGCGATCGACGACGTTTCCTTCTTTGTCAACAAGGAATTTGGAGAAGTTCCACTTGATACTATCCCCAAAGAACCCACCTTTGCTTGATTTCAAGAACTTATACAGTGGAGCAGCATTATCACCATTCACATCAACCTAAATCATTAAGCTAAGCTGAGTTAATACATACTACTTGTTTCTTGTGTTTTTCGATCTAGGAACTTGTAGCATTTTTGAATGAGGATATGTGCTACACAGATATGGAAAAATGAAATGATATGCATGACTAGAAGAAAAAAGTATTAGTGCTGTTGCAACCTTATCAAATATGGGGTACTCGGCCTTGAAGCGAGTGCAAACCATGTTCTGGATCTCTTCAATGCTTCCAGGCTCCTGTCCACCGAACTGGTTGCAAGGGAATGCAAGAATCTCCAGACCTATGTGACAAGGGGAGGATATATCAGCACGCTGAACTTAACATAACGTAAGTATTTTATTAAGTTTTCTTTGCAACGTGAAGGGGGTCTGGATAAGTGCCTCCATTGCTTCGGACTAGATCAAGAGGAGTGTTTTCTGACATTAGTTCGTTCGATCAGCATCAAATTTAGGAGAACTGAAAACAAACCTTGATCCTTGTACTTCTTGTATATCTCGGTCATGTCAGTGTAGTTTGAATTAGTCAGGCCACTGCATCAGAAGATGAAATCAATTGTTGATTGTCAGCATATGTTAAACATCATAACAGAATGATATCATAACTATAATGAATACTCTTTCCAACTATTCACAGTAGATTTCACCATAAGACTGAACTAACAAGAAATAAACAGAACATTTTATCTGAAGCTGCACATCAACTTGTTATTTGTGGTAGTAAGAAAAAGGCCAAATACATCGACAGCCCCTTAAAGTTGTCCACACTTTTCACTTAGACACTTTATCTTAAGTCCGTTCCATTTGAACGCAAAATTCTTAGGCAGCCAAACACAAAAGGAGCCAGAGTGATGAATAAGACAAAAACACGTGTATTTTACATTAACCCCGCCTGTCTGTCATCTTCCCCAGTGATCCCTGGCCATTTTTTCCCCCTTCAAAATGCAGCAGCAAACGACCAATAAAATCATTGGCAAACAAACAGAATATAATGCAATAGTTGAGGGTAGTGAAAACAAAACCAATCTAAATGTACCAAAGATGGGACTCAATCATAAAAATCAACGAACATAAACATGATGGTTGCCGGAAAAACGAAAATCCCGACCAAACCACAAAGTTGCCAGAAATAAAATCCGACCGGATTAAAAGATGGTGGAGTTTCACCATATGTTTTTAGATCTATAATCTGTAGACAAAAATAAAAAGAAAAAACGAGTAGAAGAAGACACCAATGCAAAAGGGTCGCCAAAAACTTGTTATTTCCGGTCAGATTGGCTCGAATCTAGCCGGATCTGATTCAAGTCACATTTAACTGTTGAGATTAAAATGAAACTTAGTCGGAAAAAATAAAATTTCGCCGAACGAGTGAAAATGAGAGGGCTCTTGTCACAGTTCTTGTTCGTTCCATCCCATGGTGGAAGATAATGGAGAAGATGAGGTAGGCAGGTAGGGACGCTGCTACTTTTACGGCCAGAATTGCAGCGGCCAACCAGATCTTCAAAGTGAGAGGAAAAATGAGAACTTTATGATGGTGGCCAGATTTAAAGGTGGTGATATTGTGCCCATATCTAAGGAAGGATACAATTGTATTGGTGTGAACAAATCTATAAAAAATGTGCTAAGAAGATAGTCGGAAAATTTTCTGGCAGAAGCTGTACATTTTCCGACAAGAAGTATGTGGAGTTTGTTTTTTGGAATGATTTCACGCGCTTGGAAAATGTGAGAAACACTTACCTTGTCATGTCAGCATATTGCGCCTAAATGACACAGTAAAGACTTGGTTGAAATGTTCAAATGGAACGGATTTAAGATAGAGTGTCTAAGTGAAAAGTGCGGACAACTTTAAGGGGCCGTCGATGTATTTGACCTAAAAAAAATACTCTAGTACTTATCAGATTTCTTTAAACCAAGCAAAGTAAGAATGTGTATGTCTCCCATCAGGAAGTCGATCAATAACCCTCTCAAAATACAGCAGATCAATGTCAGATGCTCATATCCAATCTAGAAACGT